GGTTCGTCAACTACGTGCGTCGGTTCGTCCCCGACATGGCGAAGCTGACTGCCCCGTTGACCGACCTGCTGAGGAAGGGGGTTGAGTACACGTGGGGGGAGAAAGAGCAAGCTGCCTTCTCGGCCCTCAAAGATATTTTGTGCTCCCCGCCCGTCCTTCACATTGCAGATCCCCACCGTCCGTTCGAGCTCGTCACCGACGCAAGTGACATCGCTGTGGGAGCAGTACTGTTGCAGGACTTCGGGAACGGCCTCCAGCCAATCGCGTACGAGTCCCGCAAACTACACCCGCCCGAACGTAACTACCCGATACACGACCGCGAGATGCTAGCGATCGTGCACGCGTTCAAAGTTTGGCGATGTTACCTGACTGGCGCCGACGTGACAGTACGGACAGACCACCGCTCGCTACAGTACCTTGGCGCCCAACCGAATCTCAACCCACGACAGATTCGCTGGTTGGACTATCTTGAGTCCAATTTTCACTACACCGTCACGTACAAAAAAGGAGCATCCAACATCGCCGACGCTCTCACCCGCCCCACCGCCCAACTCCACGCCATCCTACTCGCCCAGACCAACCCACTTTTAACTGGCCTATTCACCCACGGATACCGCACCGACCCATTTTTCACGACCGGAAATTCACAGCAACTGGTAGAAGCAAAAGGAGTCTATTACGTAAAAACAGGCACCAACCGCATTTGGGTACCCGCGTACTCACTACTGAGGGAGCTGCTGCTGCAGGAGGCACACGACGGGATTACCTCGGGACATTTCGGGGTAGAAAAAACACGACAGCAACTGCAGCGGTACTATTATTGGCCGGAGCTATTGACCGACGTACAGCAGCACGTGGGCTCGTGCCCTATGTGTCAGGTGATAAAGAGTTCAAGGAAGCGGAAGGCGGGTCAGTTGCAGCCGATCCCACCGCCCGAACGCGCCTGGCAGCAAGTAACCATGGACTTCGTCACAGGGTTACCTTCGAACCCTGGGGGTAACGACGCGGTGATGGTCGTCGTGGATAGGCTGACGAAGATGGCACACTTCGCTGCGTGCAAAAAGTCGATCTCAGCCGAGGAGACCGCTCGCCTGTTCATCGCAGCCGTTGTTCGCCTGCACGGGATACCAGCAGCAATTATCAGCGACAGGGACACGAAGTTTACAAGCAACTTCTGGAAGAACCTCTGGGAGCAGTTCGGGACCAGGCTACAGTTCAGTTCGTCGTACCACCCCGAGACCGACGGCCAAACGGAGCGGACGAATCAGACGATGGAGCAGTTGATTCGTGCCACCTGTGACGACCCCACGACCTGGGAGCAGCAGCTGCTGCTGATCGAGTTGGCGTACAACAACGCCACATCAGCCACGACGCAGCAGTCCCCGTTCTACCTGAACTATGGGCAAAACCCCACAGTGCCCATGACGCCGAGTCCGGACAACCCAACGCCACGTGCACAACAATTCGCCGAAATCCTGCAAGCTGCCCGCGCCAGAGCCGCCGAAGCAATAAAAAAGGCCAACGTCATCGCTAAGCGCAACGCTGATCGCCACCGCCGCCCTGTCACGTACCAATCTGGAGATTACGTGCTGCTCGACACGCAAAATCTGCGACTGCCCGACGCACCGAAATTACGACCGCGCTACTGTGGACCATTCCAAATCAGTCACATGATCACACCCGTCACCGCACACCTATTTTTGCCAACCGACTGGTACATCAGCCCTTCGTTCCACGTCAGCCTACTTCGCCCATACATCCCGACCACAAGTCAACTGCCGCGTCACCGCCCACAATCAATGACTCGCCCTGCATCGGAGCCGATCATCGAGCCCGAAAAAATTCTGAGCCATTGGATCCGCCACCCCACGGGAATCAGGAGGATTGAATTCCTCGTTCGCTGGAAAGACCGCACGCCAACTGAAGATAGCTGGGTGCCCCTGAGCAACATCGAAAATCACCCTGCCCTGCAAGTGTACCTGAGGAGCCGGGGATTCCGCGATATACACGCACTCGCGTAGCGGAGGGGGCTTCTTAAGGGTGGGGGTAGTGTAAGGAATTTTCTCGGCATTCCTTACGGAGCCGACTACATCGCGTACAGCAACAGCCGATTGTTCGCCCGTTACTGCTAACGGAACTTCGCCAACTTCGCGCGCACTGTTTTGCCAAACCTCGCACTGCTGGCATGGTCGTATCGGCCTACGCTTCGGGACTAGCCCGAGCCTCGTTCCAGCGTAGCACTAGCAAGCTCGCACGCACCGCGTTACCGTTTTGCATGTTTCGCGTATAAATGTTCGCTCATGCCTTCGCTCACATTTTGTACTCGTTTGACACCTTAGTGCAATTCTCGCTACCTCGATTCATTGCAACCGTAACAGGGTGTTAGTAAAGACGTGCCTGGGTTACAGTTTAAAGCGAGCAGGTAAACTAGTAAAGGGAGTCCCAGTTTGAAACTCTGGCACTGTTTCAGGAGGGTGCTCCCTGCTCGACAAGAATCGAACCACTGTTCATGAACACCTTGTAGTTTTCTAAAGAGAAGCAACCATCAGAATCTGATTGGACAGCGAGGTTTTGGTCCCCTTACGATCCAGGGCATTGGTGGGCGTTCTCGCCAATTCAATCCATGTAAAGCGAAGGCTAACATGTGCGACAGAGGAAACGGATTGAAATGTGCGCAAAGAGGGGAGTGGGGAACACGATACGAACTAATGTGTGAGAACAGAGCCACCAAAAAATGAGAGGGGGGCAGGACAGAGCTTGACTGTTCCAGTGGGCCCAAACTTGCTCTTCAAAGTGGACCTGGGCTCCACGCTACCAAGTCTAAACTCACTAGTGCCACGGATACGGCACTAAACGCGACATAAAAAAGGGTAGCGTACTCAGTCACGAACCCGTACAACGAAAGCGAAGCGTCCTTAGACTCATATTTCGGGAGCAAACGGTCATAGCTGCCGTTTCTGAGACTCTACCTCTTGGCGTGTTCAGTCTCCGTGACAAATAAAGTGACGGCATTGACCATTCATTCCGCTAGCAAATAAAACACCAGGTACGACCTTTGCTTCAGGGTGGATAGAAGTAGCGAACGGGCATGACCCCACTGCTCGCCGACACTCCTGCATTCGAGGGGCAGCGCAAGCATCTGAGTTGCGTACGCAGGCTTAGGTACGGATTGCACGGCACATCGCCTATGCTACTCGCGTACGGACGGAATGCTAGGGTGCGCTGCGCCCATTATGTGATTTAGGGTTGATTCCAATGCCACGTCGCCCCAAAGAGGTTGCGGTCTCCCGGAGTGCAAGGCAATTCGACGCGCCTCCGCGTTTTCGGAGATCGCAAGGCACTGTGCCCCGCCACCTCGCACTCATACGGATTGCTACGCTGAGCGCCACACCTGCTCGTTTTAAAACGGATTGCAAGGCACCGTGCCGCGCCTGCTCGTTTCCAGACTGATTGCAAAGCACCGCGCCTCACCTGCGCGTTTCCATACGGATTGCAATGCACCACGCCGCGATGCTCGTTCTCAGACGATTTGCTCGGTACTGTGTTGCGCCGCCTCTTTTAGGGGCGGATTTCCAGGCACTGCGCCGCGCCTGTTCAGGGTAAAACCTTTTCCTGCACAGCAGTGCACCGCGCCTCCACCTGCCCAGACGGATTGCAAGGCACTGCGCCGAAACTGCTCTTTTTTATCCAGGCTGCAAGGCCCAGCGCCGCACCTGCTAGTGCTCAGGCAGATTGCAAGGCATTGCACCGTGCCGGCTCTCTTCCAGACGGATTCCAAGGCGGGTTGCTGCCTTGCCCAACTTCCCGTTTTACCTCTCACTTCCCATTTCCCCTTCCCCTTCTGCTGCCCTTCCCCATATACACAGTCACTGCCCATTTCCCCTTCCCCCAATCCCCATTTATCCAACCCTCTGTCCTTCCCCATTTCCTCGTTTCGCAGTCACTCCTCATATCCCGTTTCGCCCAGTCCCTCCCCATTTCCCCGTTCTCCAGTCCCTCCCCATTTCCCCGTTCTCCAGTCCCTCCCCATTTCCCCGTTCTCCAGTCCCTCCCCATTTCCCCTTTTCACAGTCAGTACCCATTTCCCCTTCCCTCAATGCCTCCCTTTCCATATCCCTGTTTCTCACTCCCCTTTTCCCCCTCTATCTGGTCCCTCCCCAATTCACCTTCCCTCTGTCCCTCCCCAATTCGCCTTCCCTCTGTCCCTCCCCAATTCGCCTCCCCTCTGTCCCTCCCCAATTCACCTTCCCTCTGTCCCTCCCCAATTCGCCTTCCCTCTGTCCCTCCCCAATTCGCCTTCCCTCTGTCCCTCCCCAATTAGCCTTCCCTCTGTCCCTCCCCAATTAGCCTTCCCTCTGTCCCTCCCCAATTCGCCTTCCCTCTGTCCCTCCCCAATTCGCCTTCCCTCTGTCCCTCCCAGCGTTCCAGTCACGCCTGCGGTGCCCCCGCTGACTTAGCCATCAAGCCTCTTGACAGGCCTGATTCTGACACGGCTTCTCGCGTGTACTAGTGTGAGTGTACGTACCTGGTACGTACCTGGTATGTACCTGGTATGTACCTGGTATGTACCTGGTATGTGCCTGGTATGTACCTGGTACGTACCTGGTATGTACCTGGTACGTACCTGGTATGTACCTGGTATGTACCTGGTACGTACCTGGTATGTACCTGGTATGTACCTGGTATGTACCTGGTATGTACCTGGTATGTACCTGGTATGTACCTGGTATGTACCTGGTATGTACCTGGTATGTACCTGGTATGTACCTGGTATGTACCTGGTACGTACCTGGTATGTACCTGGTGTGTACCTGGTGTGTGCCTGGATTTCGCCCGTGCGCCCCCCCTTACCCTTCTCATCCCCACTCCCCTTGCCCCCTGTCTATCCCCACTTCCCTTTCCCCCTGTCCATCCCCAATTCCCTTTCCCCCTGTCCATCCCCACTCCCCCTTCCCCCTGTCCATCCCCACTTCCCTTTCCCCCTGTCCATCCCCACTCCCCTAAACCCCTGTCCATCCCCACATCCCTTTCCCCCTGTCTATCCCCACATCCCTTTCCCCCTGTCCATCCCCACTTCCCTTTCCCCCTGTCCATCCCCACTTCCCTTTCCCCCTGTCCATCACCACTCCCCCTTCCCCCTGTCCATCCCCACTTCCCTTCCCCCTGTTCATCCCCACTTCCCTTTCCACTGTGTCCATCACCACTCCCCTATCCTCGTGTCCATCCCCACCTCCCTTTCCCCCTCGCCACTATCTCATCTCTGTCGTGCCTCTCACTTGCCACCAGCAAAGCACACCTTCTGCATCGCAATTCTCTTTCTCACCCTTCGCTCCAGGGTGAGCTCACATGTCCGGCACAGAGAGGGGCGGTGGCGATGAGGGTACCGGCCGTGCTGCCTTGGTGCAGGGTGGTGAAGCCAGCGTGACTGAGACGGCCAAGGCATTGCACAGGTTCCTGGATAAAAGAAAGCTCACTCTCAGCTGTCACTTGACCACACCATGGGCCATCCTCCGCTGCGGATTGGCAAGTTTCATGGGAGGTGGTTGCGTGCCACGGGATAGTGATATGGTATTCTTGTTCATCGAAGCTGCCCCCGCTCTTGTTGACTATTTACTTGACGCGGCCTCTACTGCAGGTATGACAAATGAATCAATATGCTCTTTGCCCAGGTCCTAATGCCCTTCCAAACCATCCTTTCCCATCCGGCTGTATGGGTGCGAATCCGTTACAATCTGATTCACCTAGCTGCTCATGTTTGTCCATAATTTTCAGAGACATGCACCTCTCACCCCCTCCCATCCTGCTGCTCGCATGTTCATCCCTTTCAAATCCCCATTCTGATTTGCATCACAAGCTCAACCTAAATTCATCATGTTGTCCTTGCAATGTCACCCACACTCAACCCCCAAACCCCTCACACTTTCCCATTCCCCCCTGCTATTGCGACTCACCCACCCAGCGGCGGATGGCCATCATTCACACACGCGGGACACTTACCCACACTCACACCTTCCCACTTTCGTACATCCGCTGCTCCTGTCTGTTTTTGCCATACCTAAGCAGTATCCCTATTCCCTCGATTCCCTGCCCTCACTCACCTATCTCTCTGATTTGTCTTTCCGTTCCTTCCCACACCGACTATGAGCATCGAATCATCCGGTCCTTTCCATCCCCACCCACCTTAGTCATACCCCTCCGCCCCCACTCAACCCATACCCTTCTCTCAGTTGCTCACCTTCCTTCCCGTCACTCCTACTCCCTCTATAAGCGCTATTTGTTTTTCCCCTTTTTCCACCCAACAAGTAAACAATACTAAGACGTCCTCCACTCGCTTCCGTTTTTCTATGATTTTCCACACCACAGGCTCGCCAAACTATCCGCCCTTGGGTCATACACCCGGCTCATCTTCCATGGACATTGAGCAGAGATCTGTTTATTCCATTATATTTGGGGCTTTTAGCACCTTATCTCCGTCTGTGTGTCTGCGAACAGCATGTATTTATAGGAGTTAACTGCCTTTCCACATAGGTTCTTAGCTAGTATTACACAACGGTGTTACCCGTCCAGCTGCCAAACAGTGGCCATATCCTCAACGTCTGAAAGCTGGGACGTTCAATTTGTTTCATGGACGCACAACCCAACCCAAGGCATCAGTAATGCACAAGTCAACATGTGAAGGTTTTGTCACCATTAATACTGTAGGTGAGACCACTAGCTGCTCCTTTGACTGTACTACCAACAGCCCCAACAGCAACAGCCCCACCCTGTCGATGTGCTGTGCGCTGCGGCAGTGGCAGCGGCAACACGTACTTCTCTGCGGTGAAAGGCGACCAAAGATACAGCTCCAGTAGCACTGACAGGCTTGTGTGTTGGGGTGGACACAGGGCAGTAGACTGCAATCATCAACACAGAGATGGAATGAAAGAGTGTGAGTGGGATGAAATGAGAGTGAGAGGGGGATGGACTGAGAGTGAGAGTGGGATGGAAGGAGAGAGATGAGGGTGGGAAGAAATGAGAGTGAGAGGGCGTGAAGATTGGGGAAGTGAAGGATCCGTACCTTGCTGTCAGTTTCCTGATGCGATGCTTCTAGGTCGTCCTCCTGGCAGGGAGGATGTGGGAAGGGGGGAGCAGGAGCAGGATGGGGAAGAGGCAAAGAAGAAGGAAAGCAGGGTCGGGGAGGGGCACATGGGCAGGGAGAGGAGAGACCTATGGAGAGGGAGAGTAAGGAGGGCACATAGGGAGGGAGCAGGGGGAGATACAAGGGGATGCACCAGTAAGGGACGAAATTTGGCAGGAAAATGGCAGCACTGCAAATGCATCGGCAACCACCTTGCTCCAGGGATCTGGCAGGCCCTTCAGCTATCATATCCCTCTCACTTTCCCTCTGACCCATCGATCCCCTCATCTCATACCCTGGGCTCACCTGGCATGTGGGAAAATATCACCTGAGAATATGGAGGGGGGCCCAAGCAGGGAAGGGGATGGGGGGAAGCAGGCTTTGGGAATCCAGTAAGCAGGGATGGGGATGTGGGGAAGCAGGGCAGGGGATCGGGAGAAGCAGGGCATGCACGAGAGAGGAGCACGGAAAGGGAACGTGGGCAGACGAAAAGGATAAGCACCAAACTTACATGACCGGCCACCTAATTCTTACACCTAACGGCCCATCAATCCCTTCCCCCAAACCCACCTTTATCAAATCCCCATACCTCACACGCCCGTCTTTTCTGCGCCGGGTGTGCAACGTTCCAGTCACGGATTTCCATGCAGTCTCCTGCATCAGGTTCCTCACAATCTGGCTCCTCGGCTTGTCCCAATCGCTAACCCCCTCCTTGCTGCCCACCTGCCCACCTGTGTAGCACGCCATGGTGCCTGAAAAATGGAAGGAAGGCAGACGCATGCCTCAGCTTTGTCCTTTCCGTTGACCAGAAGGAAGCCGCCGTAATGATACACCTGCCCACCCGTGTACCGCGCCAAGGTGCCTGGTGGAGGGGAGTGGATGGGAGTGGAGGGGAGTGAAGGGGAGTGGAGGGGAGTGGAGGGGAGTGGAGGGGAGTGGAGGGGAGTGGAGGGGAGTGAAGGGGGGTAGAGGGGAGTGGAGGGGAGTGGAGGGGAGTGTAGGGGAGTGGAAGGTAGTGGATGAGAGGGAGTAAGGAATAACATAGACGGAACTGGCTCCGGAGCGTGTCCCCCCCGTTGACCAGATGGAAACCGCCGTAATGATACACCTGCCCACCCGTGTACCACGCCAAGGTGCCTGGTGAGTGAGGGGGGCAGGGAGGCAGGGAGGCAGGGAGGCAGAGAGGCAGGGAGGGAGGGAGGCAGGGAGACAGGGAGGCAAGAGGGACTGAGAGACAAGAAAGGACTTAGACACATCTGGATCCGCAGCTTGTCCCCGTTGTTGGCCGGATGGAAGCCGCTGAAGTGATACACCTGCCCACCTGTATAGCGCGCCAAAAGTGCCTGAAGCAGGGCTTAGGGAGCGGGGAAGCAGGGCATAGGGAGGGGGGAAGCAGGGCATAGGGAGGGGGGAAGCAGGGCGGAGGGAGGGGGGAAGCAGGGCGGAGGGAGGGGGGAAGCAGGGCATGCACGAGAGAGGAGGGGTACATGGGAGGGACAGGAAAGAGGGTGAGATCGACGGAGAGGAGGGGCATATGAAGAAGGTGAAGGCTCACCTGGTGTGTGGCGCTCACCTCTCTGATGGTGGGGGGAAGCACGGCATAGGGAGGGGGGAAGCAGGGCATAGGGAGGGGGGAATCAGGGCATAGGGAGGGGGGAAGCAGGGCATAGGGAGGGGGGAATCAGGGCATAGGGAGGGGGGAATCAGGGCATAGGGAGGGGGGAAGCAGGGCATAGGGAGGGGGGAATCAGGGCATAGGGAGGGGGGGAATCAGGGCATAGGGAGGGGGGAATCAGGGCATAGGGAGGGGGGAAGCAGGGCATAGGGAGGGGGGAATCAGGGCATAGGGAGGGGGGAATCAGGGCATAGGGAGGGGGGAATCAGGGCATAGGGAGGGGGGAAGCAGGGCATAGGGAGGGGGGAATCAGGGCATAGGGAGGGGGGAATCAGGGCATAGGGAGGGGGGAATCAGGGCATAGGGAGGGGGGAAGCAGGGCATAGGGAGGGGGGAAGCAGGGCATAGGGAGGGGGGAAGCAGGGCATAGGGAGGGGGGAAGCAGGGCATAGGGAGGGGGGAATCAGGGCATAGGGAGGGGGGAAGCAGGGAGGAGGGAGGGGGGAAGCAGGGCGATGGGAGGGGGGAAGGGTAAACAGAGCTGGTGGGAGAAAGAGAGGCTGGTCAAAATAATGAGGGGTGTAAACAGTGACGCCTAGTGTGAGGGGGACTGGGGGAGGGAGTGAGGGAAGTACAGGCTCTCCCCCTCTCTCTCCCTGTCTGCCCCTCCCCCTCTGTTCCTCCCCTCTGTCCTTCCCCTTCTTTCTCTCCCCCTCTGTCCTTCCCCTTATGCCTCTCCCAATCTGTCCTTTCTCCTCTGTCTCTCCCCCTGTGTCCTTGCCCCTTTGTCTCAAACCCTCGGTCCTTACCCCTCTCTCCTGAGAGGGGTACGCGAGAGGGACATTGGAAGGGGGGAAGAGAGCAAGGTAGTGAGGGAGGGAGAGAGAGGAAGAGAGGGGAGAGATGGGGGTTTCCAGCGACTGATGGAGGGAGGAAGAGGCGATTCGGGTGGTTGGAGGTGTTTTACTGGGGGGAATCATTGGCAAACTTCATGCGCGAAAATAGGCTGCGCGCGCGAGAAAATGAGGAGGCGGGGTCGACGGAGAAAAGCGCCAGGGAAATGACGGGGCGCGGGCGACGAGGTTCCGCGCGAGGGAAATGACGAGGCGGGGGCGACGCGGACTAACGCGTGGGAAATGACGAGGCGGGAGCGACGAGGTGAAGCGCGTGGGAAATAGCGAGGCGGGGGCGACGTATAGAAGCGCGTGGGAGATCGCGAAGCGGGGGCGACGAGGAGAAGCGCGTGGGAAATCGCGAGGCGACGGCGACGACGAGATGTTCAGTCACGTGCACGGGAAGAAACAGGCACCGACGGATTCACTTGCACGCATCCGCGCATGCCACATTTCGATCGGTTCTGGTCTCACACTACCGCGCGCTGCGCCGTGCCTAAACGGGCTCATCACTAGATTCGACTATTCGCCGCGGGAGGAGCTATAGCTATGCTACTCAGTGTCGAGCGGCTTTGGTTCCGCACATTTAGTCAGGGGGTAGGCAGGGCGTGTTCGAGATGGGCGCTGCTCATTTCTCGTGTGGCTTGTGTTGAAGATGTTTCAATTGGGGTGGTTCTGTCGAGGGTTGCAGGTGCTGCAGGAGTGTTCATTCTGTCTTGACGGTCCAATCAGAAGATGTTGTTCCTACACATGATTGGGTGAGGAGCAGGTATGCCCGCTAATGCATTCACAATGCTATCGCCAACCACACATGCGATCAACTGAACTCTGATTCTTTTTTGCTCCCCTCCCGTGGGGTACAAGCCTCCTTTCTTTCGGCGCGTTAACTCTGGCCATCCACCCGCACTCATTCCCGCCACTTCACTCATTTCAACCTGGACCCAACTAGAAAACGGGGTCACTATTTTGCCTGCTCGCTTTAAGGCGCAGTTGACCTGCTCCAACTCGTTCGCGCAGTCGTGGAATCCAACAAATAAGGAGCACAGCTGGGAGGGGATGGGAAGCACCATGGTCACGATAGGGAGGAAAAACAGGCGACAATTGTTTGAGTCAGGGCGAAAGATGATTTTCGTAGTAAGTGCTAGAAAAGAGAGAGCAGTTAAGGGTTTTCAGAACGCCCGACAGTAGCTAAAGAGAACAGAAGTTTTCCTGCTAACGTTGATTAAAATAATAATCGCTTCACGCAGCAGCTGCGCCTGCGACGACAAAAAATTCTTAAAACTGCTGTCTACAGCAGCTCTTTAATTTCTCACAAACTTCTTCAAAAGATTATTCGCAATAATCCTAGCGAGATTTTCTTCACTCCATTTTTCGCAATGTTGCTCGCGAGCCACGCACCTGAATCTCTGTTCATCATAGCATCTTCGCGAGCGACGGAGCGAATTCATTCAGGATGGTCGTCTCATTCGCGAGCACCGCCGACAGAGCGAATCCGCGGTCGAAGCAGTTCTCGCAGCAGCTCGCCTCAACCGCGTTCACGCACCGCGATGGGATAATCGCCGGTTTTTGCGGCGGATTCTGCGTCAGGGGGCAGAGCGGGTAATCCGCCGCGGATGACGGCGATAGAAGCGGTAGAAGCAGTGTCGTCGTGGCGAGTAAAGGGAGAACGATGCTTTGAAGACGGGCCATTGTGGAACCTGGCGTCAAACTAGGTCAGTGAGCACAAAAGTTCTTGGATGGTGAGACGAAGGGAGGCGTAGCAGGCCCTGCTAAACCCATGTGTAGGTATCCAAAAAAGTTATTATAGCTTATCGGGCCCTCGATGCGGTGGTGCCTGAATTCCTCACACTTCTTTGTGTGGGTCATGGAAGGTTTTGCGCGCGAGAAATGCCTGATGCGAGCGCGACGGCGCTAGGACTTTTCCTCTCCCTCTCCCTCCAGATGTCGAGTGGGGAGAGGAGAGTGCGAGGGGGCGGCAACAAAGTCGAACGGGCGGTCTTGGTGACGCCGCATTTTACGGTGGAGTGTCTTCAGGTCAGACATTTTCGTTGCGTCTTGCTTAGGCCAGATTCGAAAGTGACAGTCGCAGTGTGGATAACTATGTGGATCGGGGGCTGGAGGGAGAAATGTGATTGCATAAAGGATGGTGCAGCGGCGGAGTTTGTTTGAAGCGCAAATGTGCCAAATGTAGTAGTTCCATCTCAACTGAAGGAAACTTGGGTTCAATATGTGGTGTGCCCTCAATGCAATGTAACCAAGTTCTGAATTAGGAGCCTAGTAAACTCGGGAAATCATTGAACACTTTATTTTATATGCTGAAAGGATCAGCAGAGATTCTGTTTATCATTTGTATGAAGTCTAGTACATCGAGGCTTAGGGTGATTGAAATCGCAAGTACGTGGTGCTTGGGTGGGACCATTTCTGCCATCCGCGCCGCGAGATTGGAAGATCAGCGAAATTCTGCTGGTCGGTGTCACCACAAGGTACTGTAGCTGCAGATGGCTGCCCCGTTGGCCTACAAAAATCAGTGCTCAGATGGCGTTCCTGAGATGGGGGAACTTCGGAGTGCTGCACTATTGGTCCAGCGTGGCAGTCCTGGGTATTTTGCACACCCACCACACGTGCCATGCGATGTCAGTCTCATTGTGCGAAAAACAAGTGAGAAAACTTCCAACGAATCACATGCTTCCGTATTCAACGTTCATGCGCCAATTCCAAACGGCCACAATCTCCCATAACACGGTCGAAAACAGTCTGGGGGGAACCCGATGAAAAAACAGATTGGCGCCGCGCAATTTCCAGTCCGCCCAGAGTGCTGGGTAGGTTGGTTATGTAGGTTGTAGAGCATGTGCTGTGTGGTGACCGTGAAACGAAATTGCTTTCTGCTGTTGGATTGGCGCCTGTTTTTCCTTTTCCATTTGTCACGGTATTCTTTGACTTTTCTGAACGTGCCAAACCCAGTCACGACTCGGTCCTGTGACAGTCAAAACCGTCAGTGGTTCTGACGTTGGGCGTCAGGGGAAGTTGCCATGCGCAAAAATCGCACGACCCTCACCGCCCAACTCATGCGACGTCCAGATTCACTCCCCCCGTTGCTGCCATGCCTTAGGCACGTGTTCTGTGCACTGTTGCTGGGGGAAGTTCGGAAGTTCGCCCATCTCAGGAACGCCATCTCAGTTATTTGTCAAACACGAAAATGGATGCTGCTTGAGCGGTGACAAGGAATCAGAGCAAGGCACGTGGCAGAAACTTTCATCGCCTATTTGCTGGGAATCCGTAGGCTTATAGGCAGTCCCATAATACACGTAAGGTTGATTGGATTCCACATATTGACTCTCCATCCTCTCATTCAGCTTATAAAACGACACTCTTACGCACATGAGAGAAGACTAACACTAAAGCAAGTATGCAAGGGGGATTTACCATAATATCGCCGACAAGAGGCGGGCGGGAATCAGACTCCTACATCATCTCAATGCATGCTCATACTAGTAATCTCACCCCAGGATAAACTAGTCGCCACCGAATATCTCTCAAATGGAACAACAGGGAAAACCAAATGAATGCAAATCTATTGCAAAAGCATGGATGGTATGACTTCACAAGGTCATTGCATGGGAACAGCACGGCCACCACCAGCAGCAGCACCACCACCACGATAACCACCACCTCGACCCCTCCCACCACCACCACCCCCGCCACCACCGCCACCACCGCCACCACCGCCACCACCACCATAACCACCATATCCCCCAGCGGCATATCCACCTCCATATCCACCCCCTCCATATCCACCTCCCCCTCTCCCTCCATATCCATAACCCCCTCCCCCGTAGCCTCCCCTTCCACCGTAACCACCCCCACCCTGGTAACCGCCTCGCCCGCCGTAACCACCGCCGTAACCACCGGAGTAACCGTAGCCTCCGCGGCCTCCTCTCCCTCCCCTTCCGCCGTAACCGCCGTAACCACCGTGACCCACGTCGCCAAACGTCTGGTTACAAGCAGGGAGGGTTTGGCAAGAAAGAAAAGAATTGGGAAGATGGAGGAAAAGCAGGGAGCAAAAATGGGGAGGGAAACGAGGGGGGTGGGAAATTAGGAGGGAAATATATGAGGGAAAATTAAGAGGAAAAAATAGCCGAATATAAGGAAAAAATTTGAAGGAGGAAAATGAGGGAGCAAAAGTAGGGGTCATGGAAAGACAGATACCACCAAAAAGCGCTTCTTAACCAAGAAAATGTCCTGTCGTTCTTGGATCCTGAGGCGCCTACCCCCTTCCCCTCCTCAGTGTCCATCCGTCGAATGTCTGATGCACGCATGCCGCCATCCCCCACCCCCCTCTCATCCTAAATGTCCTTCATTTACCCACCCGTTACACACGCATGCCACCACCCCGGCCCTGTGTACCACTCGTTCCCGGCCCTGTGTACCCCGGCCCTGTGTACCTCACTACCCTGTCGTTTTCCCCCGTTCCCCACTCTTCATCCCTTCCCCCCTGTTCCCCCCCCTCACCTCGGTGTCCATTCATCACATGTCAGAACCACACATGCTGCCACGCGGCCCCCACCAGCCCCGGAATAATACCATCAACCACCCCCAACACCTCCCCACCACCCTCACTTACCTCTGTATCCATCCGTCGCATGTCAGAACCACGCATGCCGCCACCCCGGCCCCCTCCGGCTCGCGAAAGCGCATCACAAGAGAGCGAGTCAAAGAAATCGTCCTTCACATAGTTGGTGGACGCCTGGTGTGAGGTGGAGGGTGGTGATGATGGGTGTTAACGGGAAACAAGGGGGCAGTGAGTGAGGTATCACGTATGCATCAAAGAAACAGCGCATCACAAGAGAGCGAGTCAAAGAAATCGTCCTTCACATAGTTGGTGGACTCCTGTAAGTAGAGGGAGGAGGGGAGGAGGGAGGCGGGGCGTTGTAGGGGAAGGGGCGGGGGGGATGAATATAATACAAGCTCTCTTGTAGGATAGCAAGCGCCACAGGAGAGAGAGGCACTAAAAGTCATCCTTCACATAGTGGGTGGACGCCTGGTGCGTGTGGGGGGGAATTCATTTTATCATACGGTATGAATTTGTTGAAGGCATGGCCTTCACAGCCCACCAATTACCTTTCGCACTTCCCTCCTCCTCACATCATAAAACCACACCACAGCATGCATCCCACCATAATCCCCAGTTTCCCCATATCATAACATCCATACCATCACACTTCCTCTACACGTCCCAATCCCTCTTTCGCTACTTACCCTCTTCTCTTATTTCACACTTCTCACTTCTCACCTTCTTCCCCTCTTCGCCTGCCCCTTCCTGCTCCTCGCTCTCCCTCTCCTCCTGCTGATTTTGCTGCTGCTGCTGGTGCTGCTGGTGCTGAGAGTGCTGCTGATGCCCTCCATGCCCCCCCAGCTCGCCCCAGACCTCTGCCTTGTTAAACTTCTCGTTCATCGCACTGAAATCAAACTCCTCCGCATAGGCTGCCACGTTCTGCGCCGCGCCGCCGTGTGTGTAAGAAGGGGTGAAAAGGAGGGAGAAGGGGCGGGAGAGAGGAAGGGAAAGGGGGAAGAGGAAGGGGGAAGGGGAAGGGGGAAGGGGAAGGGGGAAGGGGAAGGGGGCACGGAAGGAAGGGCAGCAGGGAGCGGGGAAGGAAGAGAATAAAGGAAGCATGAGTGTGGCATGTCCCCCCTGCTCGCCCCAGACCTCTTCCTTGTTGAGCTTCTCATTCATCGCACTGAAGTCAAACTCCTCTGCATATGCACGGGAGTGGAGTGGGAAGAATTTGGGTGGAGGAGGAGGAGGGGGGAAAAGGGGAGAAAAAGGGGGGAAAAAGGGGCAGGCCGGAGAGAAGGGGCGGAGGTGTGTGGGTGGTGGGATGGGAGGCGTGGGGACAGGCGAGGAAGGAAGCATGAACGAAGGAGGAAGCGCATTACAAACACTTCGTTCAAACCCTTCTTTCAGCGCAAGAGAGAAGAACCTTCGTCTGTACCTCTCCTTTCAAAACTAGTCTTTCTTTTTTGAGGCACCTCAAAAGGTACGAAAGAAGAACCTCGCCTGTACCTCCACTCTCGAAAACACATCTTTCACTGAGCCCACCCTCACTCCCGCCCTCCTTGCTCTCCTTATTTCCTTAATTCTTTCTTAAATTGACACAGAAATACACCTACTAGTGTGGTGCAATTTCCCCTCCCCCACCTCTTTCTCCTTCCCTTTGACCCTCCCTACATCAACCCTCCCTGTCAAACCCACTCAAGTTTTGAGGAGCCTCAAAACTACTCTTCTGCTTCCCCTTCACCCTCCCTCCTTCAACCCTCCCTGTCAAACCCACTCCAAACACACCTGCTGATGAAAAGTCCCTCCTCCTCCTCCTCTTCCGCCTCCTCCTCCTCGCCCTCTTCCTCCTCCTGCGGCTCCGCCCCTCCGCGCGTGGCCAGACTGCAGCGCACCATTGGGCTGCTGGAAGGAAAGGGAGGGGAAAGGGAGGGGGCGGGGAGGGGGCGGGGGGGGGGAGAGGGAGCAGGGGCAGCATTTAAGGCAAGGACAATATGTAAGAAAGTTGAGTTGATCGTCCCTCTGCGCGTGGGCGGACTGCAGCGCGCCATTGGGCAAACACTGCAGTCTTGACTACTGCGGGAAGGGAGAATATAAAGACAAGAGTGATAATGAATGGAGGAACGAGCAAAATAAGAGGGGGGAAATGAACAAACACTGCAGCAACTGCAGCAATTGTAGCAATGACATCACTTGGAGCAGCACTGGCAGCAGTGGCAGCAACGGCTGACACAGATACCTGTGCGGCAATTGCAGCAACTACGGCAGTGGCAGCAGAGGCTGACACAGATACCTGTACGGCAATAGCAGCAGCTACAGCAGTGGCAGCAGAGGCTGGCATACCTGAGCGGCCTGTTGCAGTGGCAGCAGTGGCAGCAGCACAATTGCATCACACCAGCAGCGGCTGACATACCTGAGCGGCCTGTTGCGGAGGCATTGGCAGCAGCGGTAGCATAGGCAGCAGCGGCAGCATTGGCAGCAGTGGCAGCAGCGGTAGCAGTGGCACAAGTCGCGGCAGCCACAGTAATGGCGGCAATGGCAGCAGCGGCTGACATACCTGAGCGGCCTGTTGCGGAGGCAGCGGCAGCAGCGGCTGGCTCGACGTGTCTGGAAGTGAGAGAAAAGGCAGGGAGACAGAAAGGGAGGGAGACAGAGAGGGAGGGAGACAGAAAGGGAGGGAACAAGGTGACCTTTGAGTCGACTCAAAAGTCAGTGGCAGCAGCGGCTGGCTCGACGTGTCTGGAAGAGAGAAACAACAGAGGAAGGGAGACAGAGGGAGGGAACAGCAGAGCGAGGCGGCGAGGGAGGGGGGCCGCACAGCGAGACAGCGGAGAGTGAGAGGCGAAGCAGCAGAGCAGAAAGTAGAGAAACGGCGAAGGAGGGGCAGAAGGCCAACAGGGAATCACATGAGCCAATCAGTGGCACGAAGGGGTTGGAAAAGATGGAAATTTGCGGACAGCTGACATACCAAGGAGGGGCAGGGGTGAGTGGGTGGGCGGGGAGGAGCGGGGGGAAGGGGGAAAGGGGGGGGTGGGGGGTGGGGTGGGTGGTTGCAGATTGGAAAGAACGAACCGGATGGGAGGGAGGGGGAATGGAAAGAATGGAGCAAAAGAAAGAGCAGCACTCAGCTTACCCCAGCCAGCGGCGAAATAATAGCACGCGCTGCAGTGCGGGCAGCAGCAGGTTTCACCGCGCAGCCCCTACCCCTGCTGCGCCCATCCTTGCTTTGTTCATCCCCCCAAAAAAATTGGAAATTATTTAGAAAAGGACTCTACTTACCCCAGTCAGTAGGCGCAGCAGCAGGGGCAGCAGCAGGTTTCACCGCGCCTGCAGCACCCACCCCTGCCAAAGCCGCCGCAACCGCTGCTGCTGAGGCTGAAGATACAGCAGGAACAGCAGCAGCAGCAGCAGGAGCAGGAGCAGGAGCAGGAGCAGGAGCAGGAACAGGAGCAGGAGCAGCAGGAGGGGTGACAATAACAGTGGCAGGAGCAGGGGCAACGGCAGGGGGAGGGGCGGTTGCAGGTACAGCAGGCTTTGATCCGGCAGCAAGAGCCGCAGCAGCAGCGGCGGCAGCAGGAACAGGGGCAGTGGTGGATGGTGCAGTTGCTTTAGCAAGGTCGGCAGGGGAGAGAAGCGCCGGCTTGGGAGCAGCCGAAGCTGCCCCTGCGCCTGCACCAGCAGCAGCAGTAGCAGGCGGAGGAGCAGCAGGGGCAGGGGCAGGGGCAGCAGGGGCAGGGGCAGGAGCAGCAGGGGCAGCAGGAGCAGCAGCGGCTGCTTGTTTCAGGGCAGCAGAATCCTCTATGGCGGCAGGAGGGGGGGGTGCAGGACCCTGCGCCTGCGCGGGAGCAGGCGCTTCAGTGGCGGAAGCTGGCGCGGGTGGGGCGGAAGGCGCGGGACCAGGCGCAGGAGGCGCGCTGGGCGCAGGCGGAGACGGGCCAGCGGAAGGGGGCGCGCCCATGGGCGCGTACTGCTGCTGGGGCGGCATCCCCGGATGCTGCTGCGGCGGCTGCTGCGGCGGCTGCTGCTGCGGCTGCTGCTGCTGCATGTGGGGGGGATAACCCTGCGGAGGCCCCCCAGGGGGAGGAGGAGGTCCACCCATGGGCCCTTGCGCGCCTGGCGGATAATACCCCTGCCAATGCGGGGGGTAATAGTTCGGGGGAGGGGGTCCGGGCGGCGGACCATATCCCCCTCCGCCATGGGGCGGCGGGGGACCCCCCATCATCCCCCCCTGCGGGGGAGGCGGAGCCCCCCACATGCCCGAAGGGGGCGGAGGTGGGTAATGCGGGTGCTGCGGACCTAGGCCATAGGCGTTCGGGGGGGGAGGTCCGGGGTAAGGCGGGGGTTGCTGGTATTGGGGCGGCGGAGGCTGCTGCGGTTGGGGGGGTGGAGAGGCTTGGGGTGGCGCGGGCGGCGGGGGTTGCGCAGGGGGGGCCTGTGGCGGGGGAAGCGTAAGGGGGGTGTGGGGGGAGGGGGAGGGAAGTGGTGGGGGTTGTACAGGGCAAAGGGATAGGAGATGGGAGGGGCGAAATTGCAAATCACACGTTATAAGGGGGATCACAAGCTCAGCTTGAGTACTAAGATAGACTAGATAAATAAGAGGACACGGATGGAGATAACGCTTAGCGCATACAACCGGTAAACTTAGCGAATCTGGCTTAAAAAAGGGAATACGACGAGATGGATGGTAAAGCCCCAAGCGATCAAAACAGAAGAGAAAGTGCAAGTGAACGGAGAGAGAGGGGAGGGTGGGGGGGGGATGGGAGGGAGGGAGGGGGTGAGGGGAGGGATGGGAGGGATGAGAGGGAGCGAGGGAGATGGGGGGAAGGGCGGGAATAGATGGGGGGAAGGGTGGGAATAGTGGGGAGGAGAAAGAGGGGGAGGAAAGGGCGGGGTAACCGGAGGGAAGGAAAATGCAAATAGCTTGTAAGCAGAAGGAGTGGGTGGGCAGAGAGAGAATTTTAAATCGTAAATTTAGAGAGCTGGTAACATCACACAGATTAAGTCTCGTGGGCGGCGATACCTGTTGCTGACGTGGCAGGGACTTGACTTGAAGGTCCTGAAACAGGTGGCAGGAGGGAGGGAACGAAGGAAAGACATTCCAGTAGATTGAAAGCGGCGAAAAGCGGTACGAGGCGGGCAGAAGCTGCAAGAATCAAATCGGACAACGAACAGGCGGAAAAAGGAAACCCAACTTTTGAATGGAAGCCAACAATCAACGTGTCCCACAATTCAGGACCTACGAAGCTGGGCAATCAGCTAACAATAGCTAAACGCAAGTCTGCGACAGTACGGACAGACAAAGAGCATGCTCGGAAGTAAAAAGCTCGACGCATTAGTTGGTATCTGTTACTAAAAACGGCAGTCATTACGCAAAAGCAGCTATATAGTCGACGCGCTTACGCCAACAAGCTTCAGGTATTTTAGTCAAAGATCGAACGCGAGACAAAAAATATATTAAAAAAATAATCAGACGCATGCAATCCAGCAGATCTAAAACGTCGCTCTCGCGTCATTCAAGATGGGCGAAATGGGAGCACCACCAACGAAATAGCAAAATGGAGCCGGTTCTGCGAGATACGGTGCAGCCGTAACCTGGTAACTAGACACACCTTGATATCGGTTCCGCGAAAGATAATAAAGTCGTAGACCTTGTCGCTGGGCGGGATTTGCGGGCCATCCTTCTTTCGCCCCTCCGTTCCAAAAGAGCGCACTGGACATCGAAAGAAAGGATAACGACGAGAGATTGTTACGTAAGGCACGGTTTTGGATCCTAACAAGATTTTAAACATCCCGTTTCTAAGAAGCGCACTGGACACTAGACAATGGGTTAACGGCGGAAGACAGAATCGACTACGATGGGCATTCAAGATCATTCAAGAGACGGGAGCGGAGAAGAAGACAAAGGAGTAGCTCAATGAATAAACTCGAGAAGAACGGATGACGGCATAAAAATACATAAGACGCAGAAATTAAGAACCACGAACGAGCCGCAGAGCACGCGCGTGTTGGAAACGTCACAAGATGATAATCAGAAATCAGAAATGCTGGGCACGCTACATGATACAAAACAAGAAAGAGGAAAGAAAAAAAAAAGCACAACGAACCAAAAAAAAAAAAACAACAACAACAACCATTCAACGGGCAAATTCTGAATCTCGACTAACACGGGACATGCCGACGAAGGGTGAAGGAAATAGGAAGAAGGAAACACGAAGAACGAAAGATGAGGGGGAACAATGGCGAAAGAGATATTTTTTAGAGAACTACCGTTTTGCAAGGCGATGTTGGCTTGTTGCGTATCGACAGTGTACAGCACACCCTCGTATCGGATCTCGCTCTTAGACGTCAGACTGATTAAACACCCAATGTACGAATCAGCTCCCCCTCCTCCGCCTCCGCCTCCGCCTCCCGCGGGAGCCGCTGCTGCGCCTCCGCTTGCGCCTCCCGCGCCTGGGGGAGCTCCTCCGCCTCCCCCTCCGCCTGCGCCAGGCGGTGCTGAGGCTGCGGCGCCAGCGCCTGCTGCGCCTTCCTCTCCGCCCATGCTATTGCTCTAAGCGACTATCCAGAGTTGCGATAGCCAACTAACACGCAACTAATAATCGCAACTGCTGCAACAATCTATACCTAAAACCAGGTGCTGAAATATCCCTGACCTAAAACACGAGATCCGTGAAAAACCAGATCCCGATCGGGAAAACGCGAAAACAAAAAACACGAGAGAGATTAGTCTGCCTAGAACCTAGACGAGGCAGAGACCACTGAAGCTGATGCGAACACGACGCTAAGCTTCCTAAATTAGGTCATCCATGGCTGATTTGCCAGGGAAAACAGAGCAAGCAAAGCAGCAACAAGCAATACCTAATTCAGGAAGCTAGGAAAGCAGGCGGGGACCAAATGATGGAGGAAGAAGGTTTGTAGGTCACAGCTCCAGTGGATAAGGCGTGTGACGTTACTAATCGGTTTCGCAAGCTCAGTTTCGCAAAAGTTGCCTCGAAAGAGGACTTTGTGAACGCTGGAATTGTTGGTCTCAATCGCAGGACACGTAAATCTCAACGTTGGAAAAACAGATACAAGTAAGCATAGAATGTAACTTTCCAATAAATGCTACATAGATGATGGAGATGTAATGAATAAGATATCATGCTATTCCAATATGCACATGAATCCAGAACATTGGATCATGTCACTGTATGGGGCTCAAGGCACTACACATTACGCCACGAATAAACTATTTGGTACCTTCCATACTTGTTCGACCCTAACATGCTCTCTACTTGTCACATCACATATCTTTCTGATGGATTACAAGCCATCTGTGTTCAATGTGAGCGATTTGGGGTCAAGAAGATACCGGATCGACCAATCAAATGGCGCCACCTCGACACATTGTGCGAATGTGGGATTGCCTCTAAGAGCAACCCATCTTGCCAGTGCCAACCGTGGCGCAGGGGAGAGCTGGTGCAACACCCACTCAAGCAAGGATGGAAAAGAATCAGCAAAATCCGGGCAGTACCTGTGGGAGGAATTCAGAGGCAGGGCAGGAAAAAAGGAAAAAATGGTGAACATGGGAAGGGGTGTGCAAGGAACACGGTGTGGCAATCACAAGGCAACAAAGAATTATAGCAAATGCTTGGTTGCAAGCCTTGAGAAGAGCATAAACACTAAGGCCTACATCACAGGCACTCAAAAATTCTTGTTCTTTCTTTCTTTTTTTCGCTCTTTCTTTCTTTATTCATTTCTTTCTCTGTTTGTTTCTTTCTCTTGTATTATTTTTCTTCGATGTCACGCACCAGGCAAGTATTTTGGGGAGAACGAGGCGGTTGTCTCGACTGAGTCCCACTGCCAGCTCAAGGAACCCCTCTCTTGCCTCCTCCAGCTCTGCCCTGACTGTACGCGGTGAGAACACTTTCAGCTGGAGGTGGGGGAAAGGGGGAGGGTCGGAGAAAGGGGACGGGGAAGGGGAACAAGGCGATTGACTCGACTGAGTCCAACTGCAAGCTCAAGAAAGCCCTCCCTTGCCTCCTCCAGCTCTGCTCTCACCGTGCGCAGTGAGAATACTTTTAGCTGGGGGGTGAGAAAGAGGAGGGGAAGGGGAAGGGAGAGACAGCATAGAAGGAGGGGAAGGGGAAGGGAGAGACAGCATAGAAGGAGGGGAAGGGGAAGGGAGAGACAGCATAGAAAGGCAAGTAAACAAGAAGTCCTCCCTTGCCTTCCCCAACTCTGCTCTTACTGCCCGTGGTGAGAAGACATGTGGGTGTAGGAGGGGGAAATGGAAGGGGGAGGGGAATGGTGAGGGGAAAGAAGGGAGGGGTATCAAGTTGCAAGCCCTCCCTTTGCACTGGCAGCCACACTGCACTGACTGGTAGAGTGCACTGACTGCATGCAATTTTGTTTCAAGTAGAATAAAAAACCATGAGAGGAGACCTTTGTTGAAACCCGTTATTTTGTTAAAAAAGAAAAAAGAAAAAGAAAAAAATGTTACACGACAGGGGACGACGAAGTGATTGAGGAGGACTCATCAGAGGAGCAGAAAAATTGCCCGGGAAGAGAGAACATGAGAACAACGCAACAATTACAACAAAGTGGATATAGGAGCACTCACCAGGGGAGCAGAGAAGGTGCCAGAGCAGAGGGCAAAGGAGACGCTGGGGTGGGGCGACTGCATGGCCCAGGAGGAGCGGTGGTCGCTTGGAGGGAAGGGACGGACCTTGAGAGCCGTGGCCTGATGGGGTGGAGGGGGCAGAAAGTGGGAGAAAGGGGGAAGAGAGAACATGGATGGAAGGGAATGCAGAGAGCGAAGGAGACGCTGGGGTGGGGGGAGTGCAGGGCCCATGACGAGCGGTGGTCGCTTGGAAGGAAGGGGCGGACTTTAAGTGCCGTGGCCTGATGGGGTGGAGGGGGGAGAGAGTATGGAGGGAGGGGAATACACAGAGCATAAAAGGGAGATGCTGAGGTGTGATGTAGCTGCCATGATGGGCGGTGGTCACTTGGAGGGAAGGGGCGGCCCTTGAGAGCCATGGTCTGATGGGGTGGAGGGGGGAGAGAGTATGGAGGGATTTCACTCAACAATGGATCTTAAGGAAAAACATATTTGGAAGTTTCTTGACTAAGATTTCCGAAGAAGACGGATGGACGTCGCAGAGACAAAACAAGTGCAGAGAGAAACGGCGGCAGAGAGGAGCGGAGGCAGAGAGGAGCGGAGGCAGAGAGGAGCGGAGGCAGAGAGGAGCGGTGACAGAGAGGAGCGGTGGCAGAGCGGAGCGGTGGCAGAGAGGAGCGGTGGCAGAGAGGAGCGGTGGCAGAGAGGAGCGGTGGCAGAGAGGAGCGGAGGCACAGTGGGTATAAATAGAAAGCAAGGCGTTTTTAAAGAGCAACATGAGAACTGGGGAGAAATGCAGGGAGGCAGTACCAGAGTGGAGTGTTACCAGAGAGGAGTGTTACCAGAGAGGAGTGTTACCAGAGTGGAGTGTTACCAGAGTGGAGTGTTACCAGAGAGGAGTGTTACCAGAGTGGAGTGTTACCAGAGTGGAGTGTTACCAGAGTGGAGTGTTACCAGAGTGGAGTGTTACCAGAGAGGAGTGTTACCAGAGAGGAGTGTTACCAGAGTGGAGTGTTACCAGAGTGGAGTGTTACCAGAGTGGAGTGTTACCAGAGAGGAGTGTTACCAGAGTGGAGTGTTACCAGAGTGGAGTGTTACCAGAGTGGAGTGTTACCAGAGTGGAGTGTTATCAGAGTGGAGTGTTACCAGAGAGGAGTGTTACCAGAGAGGAGTGGAAAGATTGTGCTCGGAGAATGGAGAACTCGATTTCAAATGCGTTGATGGCCGTGCCCCGAATGGTGAACGTGGCCTGGAGTGAACAGGAAGGGAGGATGACAGGAGCAGGGAGAGACAAAGGAGAGAGCAGGAGAGAGAGAAGGGAGAGAGAGAAGGGAGAGAGAGAAGGGAGAGAGAGAAGGGAGAGAGAGAAGGGAGAGAGGGGGAGATGAGGATGGAGAATTGATGGTTGTGCCGCGAAATGGTGTAGGTGGCCTGGAGGGGGGGAAACGGATTGAGAAGAAGATGACCAGAGGAGGGAGAGAGGAGAGGGAGAGAGGTTAAAGAGTGGTTGTGAGTGAACAGAGAACCCGATATCAATGTGTGACTTGTGAATGTGAATGTGGCTTATACTCTTAATACAAAATACAGGATCCAAGCGCTTAGGTACTGCCACATAGTGGGAATGGTGACACTTAGTTGGAACAGTGGCACTTAGCAGGTAAGAACAGTGGCAAACCTGATTTAGCAGCGCGATGCGCTTGGCATGTGTTGTGGGGTATCCATCCACTAGGAACGTCTGAAACGGGAGAAGGGCGTCGGGGAGAGAGGGGTTGGGTAGTGGAAGGAGGGATACTACAGAGGGATATGTGGGTGATTTGTTACGTGGGTAATTTAGTTTGATTGAATAGTGCGATGCGCTTGGCATGTGCTGTGGGGTATCCATCCACAGGAATGTCTGCGCGGGGTTGGAAAGGGGGGGGGAGGAGAGGGAAAGAAAGGGGTTGACCAATATAAACAGTGGGCGGACAGGGGAGAACGGAACATAAAAGGGTACTATGTGGGGTGGGGTAGCCGCTTGTGACTAGCCTAAGGAAATCTCACGACTAGCCTCACATGCAGCAGCAGTGCATGGTGCAGGTTGATCCAAAAGGCCAGGCGCTCTCTGGCGCTCATCGTCTGCGAGCAATGTTACCACTGCCATTGAATGACACCACACTCGCATGCATGCAGGGCACACTTCGCTCACATGCATGCAGGGCACATTTCGCTCACATGCATGCAGGGCACATCTAGAGACTCAGGTGCAGCAGCAGTGCGTTGTGCAGGTTGATCCAGAAGGCCAGCCGCTCGTCCTCTGAGAGCAGTCTTACTACTGCTAATGCACATGGCACCTTGCGCACATGGATGCAGGGATAGGCAGGCCACTCACATGCAGCAATGTTACCACATGCACATGCACACGCACATGCACATGCACATGCCACCTTGCTCACATGCATGCAGGGATAAGCAAGCCACTCACGTGCAGCAGCAGTGCGTTGTGCAGGTTGATCCAGAAGGCCAGCCGCTCGTCCTCTGAGAGCAGAGCCGGGCTCACATCGTCCAACTGCTCCGCTAGCATCCTGATGATGCCATGGGAGAGAGCAGGGAGAGCAGGGAGAGCAGGGAGAGCAGGGAGAGCAGGGAGAGCAGGGAGAGCAGGGAGAGCAGGGAGAGCAGGGAGAGCAGGGAGAGCAGGGGGAGCAGGGAGAGCAGGGAGAGCAGGGAGAGCAGGGAGAGCAGGGAGAGCAGGGAGAGCAGGGAGAGCAGGGAGAGCAGGGAGAGCAGGGAGAGCAGGGAGAGCAGGGAGAGCAGGGAGAGCAGGGAGAGCAGGGAGAGCAGGGAGAGCAGGGAGAGCAGGGAGAGCAGGGAGAGCAGGGAGAGCAGGGAGAGCAGGGAGAGCAGGGAGAGCAGGGAGAGCAGGGAGAGCAGGGAGAGCAGGGAGAGCAGGGAGAGCAGGGAGAGCAGGGAGAGCAGGGAGAGCAGGGAGAGCAGGGAGAGCAGGGAGAGCAGGGAGAGCAGGGAGAGCAGGGAGAGCAGGGAGAGCAGGGAGAGCAGGGAGAGCAGGGAGGGCAGGGAGAGCAGGGAGAGCAGGGAGAGCAGGGAGAGCAGGGAGAGCAGGGAGAGCAGGGAGAGCAGGGAGAGCAGGGAGAGCAGGGAGAGCAGTGAGAGCAGGGAGAGCAGTGAGAGCAGGGAGAGCAGTGAGAGCAGGGAGAGCAGTGAGAGAGGGCTAAAAACAATGAGAGTGGCACCTACGCAGCAGAGCCGGACTCACATCGCCCAGCTGCTCCGGCAGCATTCTGATGGCATGGGAGAAAAGAGGAAGAGGAATGACGTTCTCAGTGGGAGGTGGTTCAGTGGAAGCAGGGAGCAGGGCAAGGAATGACAGTCTCGGTGGCACCTCAACTGCAGGGCCGGGCTCACATCGTCCAACTGCAGGGCCGGGCTCACATCGTCCAACTGCAGGGCCGGGCTCACATCGTCCAACTGCAGGGCCGGGCTCACATCGTCCAACTGCAGGGCCGGGCTCACATCGTCCAACTGCAGGGCCGGGCTCACATCGTCCAACTGCAGGGCCGGGCTCACATCGTCCAACTGCAGGGCCGGGCTCACATCGTCCAACTGCAGGGCCGGGCTCACATCGTCCAACTGCAGGGCCGGGCTCACATCGTCCAACTGCAGGGCCGGGCTCACATCGTCCAACTGCAGGGCCGGGCTCACATCGTCCAACTGCAGGGCCAGGCTCACATCGTCCAACTGCAGGGCCGGGCTCACATCGTCCAACTGCTCCGCTAGCATTCTGATGCAGGGGGGAGCAGAGGGAGGGGATTCAAAGAAGTGACCTCCCTGACAGCACAGCACTCACCTGTAGCGGCAGAGAAGGAACACATCGGCGCTGGTAAAGGACTCAGGAGGAGGCACAGGAGTGATCTCCACTCCATGGCACTGCTGTACGCCCCCACCACCGGCAGACGCCTCCATGCCCCTCCAACTATACAGCCCTACTCAGCATCCCCTCACCTTAGGTTCCTGGTTCAGAGGGCACTCACCGGTAACGGCACAACAGGAAGACATCAGCACTGGTGAATGATTCAGGAGGAGGCACAGCAGTGACCTCCATGGCACTGCTGTACGCCCCCACCACCGGCAGGGAGGGATGCCCCTCCAACGCCCCATACGGATCCACAAACCCGTCCGGCCTCTTCTGGTTAGCCTCAAAAACCCCTTCCGGTTGTCTATCCCCCGCAAACCCTGCTTCTGGAACAGATGCCGCTGCGGCTGCTGCTCCTGTGTCTGCTACAGTAGCGCCAGAAGCAGCAGCAGATGAACCCGCCTCAGGTATACCTGGTTCTTCCATCCCCTCCCACCCTCTCTCGTCCGCTGCCCCTCCACCTCCCTGCTTGCCCCCGGGAAACGCCGACCGCAGCCACTGGGGCGCTTTGGCTGTAGCAGACTTGGCTGTAGCAGAGGCTAGAGCCAGGCCCCTCCGGGACTTAGAGCCTGAGTCTGATGCGAAGAGAGAGGGCTTTTTCGAGAGAGAGGGAGTGAGGGAGGGAGTGAGAGGGGGGAAGGAGGGAGTGAGAGGTGGGAAGGAGGGGGTGACGGGAGGAAGTGTGGCTGTGCTGCTGAAATCCGGATCATCCTGGGTTTTTAGGGGGCTTAAAGTATCGGTGCTGGCACCGCTATCATCACCATCACCAAATCTCTCGCCTCTACCTCCTTTCTCTCCTCCCTCTGCTCCCTCCTTCGCCTTACTCGGCCCTCCTCTCCCACTGGCCGCCTCCTCCCCCCATCCCGCCCGCTCCTGCTCCGACACACCACGGGCCTCGTCTGACGTGGCACGGACCGAATCCGACATGACACGGGCTGAATCCGACGTGGCACGGGCTGAATCCGACGTGGCACGGGCCTCCTCTGACGCGAGCAGGAGGGCGGCAGCGCGTTTCTGCCCCTCCCCCAGCCCCCACACAGCCGGGTGTGCATGGTGCAGGTAGATGGTCGCAATGGATTTCAGCATCTCCTCTGAGAGTGCACATGGGCGGGATCGGTAGTCGTCTAGCTCGAGAGAGAGGGGGGCCGAGTCGGTGGCAGGGAGAGAGGAGAGGCGAGTGGAGGAGGAGGTGTTTTTGATGGTTTTTTGGAGATGGTTGATGGACTTGGCCAGGGATTTCCGGAAGGATTTGCGAGAGGAGGACTCTGCAGCGTGGGAGGAGGAGGTTTGGGTGGCGGATGGAGGTGGGGGAGCAAAGGCCACGTGTGCTGCAGCACTGGCACCGGTGCCACTGGTGCTGTTCCTTGTGATGCTGCTTGTGCCGCTGGTAGTGCCAGTGCTGCTGCCGGTGGTGCCGCTTGTGCATAACTTTTCGCCAGTTCTGGTTACCAGTTCGGTTGCAGGGACTTCAGCAGTGGAGACGGGTGGTATGCGCGGCCTTGGCTCAGGTGACGTCTCAGGTGATATTTCAGGTGTTACCTCAGGTGATACCCCAGGCATAACAGGCTCATGTACACTAGGTGGAGATTGAAGGGGTACAGGTGCGCCTTCGTCTTTTTCCCCACCTGCCCGATCTGCCCCTTCATCTGCCCGTAAACAAGTAGTTCCCATGGCAATGGGGGCTATCAGTCCCGAACCAGACCCCACATCGAACTCTGAAGCTAGGCCCACCCCCTTCTCCTTTACCGAGCCTACGCTCTTCGTCCTCCTTGGGCTTAGCAGCTCGGGCCCGGACATAGGCTCGGCAGCAGGTCCGGAAAGGCTTGGCAAATCCATGCCTGATGACGAACGCAAGCCTGCCACGTCAGCAGACGTCCACTGCTCCGGCGAGTCGATCTTCACAAACACATTGCTGCTGGGCGCTGCCGCACCGCTGCCAGGTTCGGCTGCTGCCGAGGCTTCTCCCGAGCCTGGCGCCGAACCAAGCGGGGGCTTGGGGTGTTGCTGAGAGCGTGGCGGAGCCGAACCTGCTGCTGCACCAATTCCAATGCTACCACACACACTATCACTTCCTGCCATTCCACCCCCAGAAGGCCCCCCAGCTACAGATCCTCCAAGCAAGCTGAAATCAAATCCAGACCCACCGCCGCTGCCGCCGCCGCTACTCGCCTTAGCTTCCTTGTTGCCTCGCTTGGAGAATCCTCGACTCTTCTTCTCCTTCCCTTCCTTGCTCTTCTTCCCCTGCTCCTTCTTTCCTTTGCCTGCAAGCTCTGCCTCGGTTGCAGCGATCAGGTTTTCTAGCATTGCTGATAGATACTGCTGCTGCTGCTGCTGCTCCTGCTGCTGCAGAGCGCTCGTAATAGAAAATTCCTCCTCCTCCATTACCTCTCCACGACCACCCACTTCCCACCCCACCCTGCCCTCACTCTCTCCTTTAACAAAAGCTTCTACATCCATCTCGCCATCCCCTTCCCCCTCTCCTTTCCCTTCCTCTTTCCCCTCACACGCCATCCCATCTTGAGTCGACCCAAAGATGTCTTCCTCCTGTCCCCGCAGGTGTACGCCCCCCCCCTCCCCCTCATCGCATTCTCCATCCTCCTCCCGAATCTCCTGCTGATTTGCACCCCTTGCCTTTGCCCATCCGTCCTCTCCCTCCCCTACCCTCCCTTCCAGTCCCCCCAGCACCATCTCGGAGAAAGATCCAACGGCCAGGAACTTCCGATGGTCTGCGGCAGATTGAGAATCTCCAGCAAGATCTGCTGCATTTTCATCAGTGGGGCTTGTGCCTCCTTCCTCCCCTGTATAGTCATCATCTAATACAAGCACATTAGGCTGTTCCGCCCTGCAGCTTCCGTCCTGATCCTTGGAGGCTTCTCCAGTTCCCTTGTCCTCTCTTCCAGTAAATAACGGCCCTCTCTGCTCCCCTTCCCTCTCGTCTTGATCCTCTATTCTGAAACTCACCGAACCTCCCTGCCCTCCCCAGCCGAAAACATTCTCCGAACCATCGGACAGGCCAGACCTGGCTCGGTCACTGAACAAGCCATCCTGAGCCTCATCACCAGGTTCGGAATTGTTCCGAACGAATCCGGCTGCAACACCACCAGGTTCGGAATTGTTCCGAGCATAACCAGCGTGTATGCCCGGAGCATGCCGGACCGCAAACGACAGCATCTTACCCAGAGGGGAGCGAGGGCGGGAGGAGGACGAGGAGGAGGAAGGGGAGAAGGAGTGAGTAGTAGGGCTGTACGAATGGTGTCTCTCGGGAGTTTTTGCTCGGCGGAAAGAGAGAGAGGGGCGCATGCGCTCAGGGCTCTTGCTGCTTGCAAGCAGCATGGAGGGCACGAGGGAGGTCGGAGCAAGGGTGATGCCCTGACCTGCGTCAGACGAACCCATCGATCCATCCTGGTACTTTGATGATTCCCCTGCCCGGTCGAAACCCTCAAAGCCCTTTGAACCCTCACGCATGGAGCGGGACCTGAGCGCAACAGCAACAGCAACAGCAGCAGCAGCATCGCCGCCACTCCTCTGCCTCGGAGTAACCCCCTCAGGTCCCTCTTTCAAATTCACCTCATGCCCATGCGCTCGCACATGGTCGGCACTAGGAGGAGCGTGAGTGTTAGCAGCAGGGAAGGCAGTGCGGTGGATGGCAGAGGTGCTGCGGTTGAACCGAGAGAACACCCCAGGAGAGCATGCGCCATGTGCTATGTTCTCCATCACTTCCTCTTCTTCCTCCTCCTCCTCACCCTCTCCCCGCTCTTCCTCCTCTTGCTCACCCTCGTCCCCCTCCTCTCCCTCCTCTCCCTCCTCTCCCTCCTCGCTTTCCTCTCCCTCCTCTCCCTGTAAGACGGAATCACCTCCCCCTCGCCTTCCCGCCCTTCTCTCCTGCCTTCCTTCCCCTCCCACCTGCCCCTTCACTCCCTCCCCCCCTTCACCTCCCTCCCTTCCCTTCCCCCCAGCGGCTCCAAGCTTAAAATCCAATGCTGCAAGCCCTGATACCACCGCAGACCTGCCCCGATCCTTTCCTGTATGGGCTCGCACAAGAGACTCACTCCCACTCGCACCACTGGAAAGCTCAGCAAGCTCAGCAGCAGCGTAGGGAGGCAGGTCAGCAAGCCCTGGCACAGGAAAATCCAGGTTATTGAGGTCCTGTCTCGTGTCGGATGCGCGGCGAGCCAAGGAGCGCTTGAGGGTTGGCTGAGTGGCGGCCCTTATAGCTTGAGGCAGCAAGGAGTCGTCCTCTTCCTCAGCCAACTCTCCCTCTCTTCCTCCTCTTCCGTCTCTTCCTTCCCCTCTTCTCATCCCCCCTTCCTTGTCATCTTCCACCTCCCCTCTGCCAGGGTAGCTCGGAACCTTTTTCCTGCTGTGAGTGCTGCTGCTGCTGATATCTCGGTCCGACTGCAAGGGCACATCCGAAACACGCCGCCCACGCACCATCCTAACCCCGGTTTTCCCCACTGCACCATCAGCCAGGGCTTTAAGGTCTGCTTCAGTGGACGATAAATACCGGCCCAGGTTCCTAAACGGAGACATGCCCCTACTCAAAGGCTTGGTGCTGCTGGTAACCGGGTAACCAGCACCTGGGTGACCACTGCTGTTCCCAGCCCCACCAGCAGCACCAGCAGCAGCACCAGCAGCAGCGCCACTAGCACCAACACTCAACCCAATACCGGTCACAGCACCAGGATCACCACTGCTGCCAGTCCTAAGATGTGCTCCCGCTTTCCCACCCCAAGCTGAACCCCCTCCCTCTCCCCCTCTTGGCGACACCACCCCTCCACCAGGCAGATATCCATGCATCTCATCCCCATCTCCCGCCTCCTCTCCCCCTCCGCCGCCCCCTCCGCCTCCCCCTGCGCCTCCAGCTCCCCCCTCTCCTCCCCACGGCCCCACGCCTGCCCCGCTCACCTTTTTCTTCAGCTTCTGAAGCACTTTCAGACGGGACTTCCCCCCTGCGCCCCCACTTGCGCCTCCTCCTTTGCCTCCTCCCCCCATTGTATGACCCTCGCTCCCATCCTCTAACCCTGTTCGCCCCTGCCAGTCCACACTCCCCATACTCTCCCCTCCCCCTCCCCCTCCCCCTCCCCCTCCCCCTCCCCCCCCTTCTGCCTCTAGCCTCTTCCCAATCTCCTCCCACGACCCGCTCCCCCCTCTCCTTCGCCTCCCCCCCTCTCTCGCCCCCTTCAAATCAGTCACATCCTTTATAAGGTCCTTCAGCCGATGCACCTGGGTATTAGCACTCAGGGTAGAATAGCTATGCCCCAGGATAGACGCCCGAGAAGCAGCACCGCCACTACCAGAGGGGGCAACAGAAGCAGAGTGCAAATCCCCCCCACCTCCTCCTCCTACTCCACCTCCTCCTCTCCCTACCCCTCCTATTCCCCCGCCGCCCGCACTCCCGGCAGCAGCCGAAGCAGCGGCAAAGGCAGCAAAAGCAGCAGCAGAGGCGGCGCCAATGGCAGCAGTGGCAGCTGGGAGAACAGGGGGGCTGGTGCTGAGCGTGTGGATAAGGTCCTTGATGAGGGAGGCGAATTCGGGGGAGGTGGTATCTACCGCAGGGTCACTCAGGATCTGGTCCAGAAACTCTTCCACCTGAGGGGGAGAGGGGGAGGGAGGAGGAAGGGGGGAGCAAGAAGGCGAGAGCGCTGCTGTATGTAAAAAAAGGGCAGCGGTGGAATGCCTGAAAATATGCAGTTGGGGCCGGGGGAGGTGGTATCTACTGCAGGGTCACTGAGGATCTGATCCAGAAACTCTCCCACCTTGGGGGGAGAGAGGGACGAAGAAGCAAGAGGAAAGAGAGGGTCACTCAGGAAGATTCACTGGCAGGAAGATTCACTGGCAGGAAGATTCACTGGCATGTCTCAGAAGGTGACAGTGTACCAGCACGTGAAGAACAGAACAGCACGTGCGTGCCACACCTACACAACACATATAGCACAGCACAACACATATAGCACAGCACAACACATATAGCACAGCACAACACATATAGCACAGCACAACACATATAGCACAGCACAACACATATAGCACAGCACAACACATATGGCACAGCACAACACATATAGCACAGCACAACACATATAGCACAGCACAACAAATATAGCACAGCACAACACATATAGCACAGCACAACACATATAGCACAGCACAACACATATAGGCAGGCTCCGCTTCCCTCACTTTCCAACGTTTTGCACATTAGCTCAACCCTTCTGGCCCCCTCTGCCCCTGTCTGCCCATCCCTGCCCTTCTCTGCTCCTCCCTGCCCCCCCTTTGCCACTCTCCTAAGATTCCTCTGCCCCTCTACCCTGTTCCCTCTTCCCCTTTTCTTCTCCTTTGAAAATAGAAAACAGTTTCGAACTGCAGCAAGCCATGGGCCTCCGTAAGTGTAGTGGGTAACTCTACAAAGCATTCCGCCTGAAACTCTTACGGAGACCCACGGCTTGCTGCGGTTTGAAACCTCTTTCTACTCTGCAAAAGTAACATCTTCTGAGAATTCTCAGAAGTGACGTTGTTCTCCTTCCTCTACTTCTGAATCAGCTCCTTGAAAGCCTCCCGCTGTGCTGTCAGCTGCAACCTCTGCTGTGCGCTCACCCCTGGTAGTCCTTCTCCCTGTTCTTCTTCCCCTTTCCCTTTCCCTTAAGAAACGCACCTTCTCATTCTCCTTCTTCTCGTTCTGAATCAGCTCCTTGAGAACCTCTCTCTGCGCAGTCAACTGCAGCCTGTGTGTACACAGCTCGGAAAGACAAAGAGAGACATGAACAGACGAAAGGTGTGGCTTGAGTCGACTAAACACACAGCGGCAGCCGCTGTGCTCATGTGCTCAAAACACACAGTATGGTCCCAGCACAGGCATGCACGCACACACAAGCACACAAAACCCTACGCAAGCACCCACTTTCCCCCACTCATAGCTGCATCTGTGCGGTCACCCACCCAACCACCTCCACCCCCACCCCCATAAACCGCCCATAACCCAGACACATAGGAGTATCTGAGCAGTGTGAACAGCACGAACTGCCCCTGGAAACCCCACAGCCCAGTGCACCTGCTCCAGAGCACTCCACGTTGACCCTCCAAACGATCAGCTCCAGCAGCAGCGGCAGCTGATGCGTTTGGCTTACCCACCTCCACACCCACCCACCCACACCCACTCCCACACCCACCCACCCACACCCACTCCCACACCCACCCACCCACACCCACACCCACACCCACACCCACCCACCCACACCCACACCCACACCCACCCACCCACACCCACACCCACCCACCCACACCCACACCCACCCACCCACACCCACACCCACATCCACACCCACCCAGCCACATCCAAGGCAAACTCACAGTTGCATCTGAGCAGTGCGAACGGCGCGCACGGCACCAGGCGACCCCACGGCCCAGTGCACCTGCTCCAGCACTGCTCCAGGTTGACCCTTTCCACCGTCAGCTCCAGCAGCAGCAGCTGCGCGTCTGGCCCAGCCACCCCCACTCCCACCCAACCCCACACCCGCCCACCTCCAATGCAAACTCACAGTTGCACCTGAGCGGTGTGAACGGCACGGACTGCCCCAGGAGACTCCACGGCCCAGTGCACCTGCTCCAGTGCTGGCTCCAGTCCAGGTCGACCCTCTCTAAGGGCGTGTCCAGTTCGTTCATTTCGGGATTTTTCGTGCCAACGCACGTATCGAGGTTCAAAAATGACTACCGTACCTAGAAACGAATGCATTGTGAGTGGAGTCCAACCATCCTGTAATTTTAGAAGCGCGGACACATTCCCCGCCACACGAATCAACAGTGCTCTGACCACGTTGAAAACGAGGTAACAGTTTCCCTCGTCAATCATAGCTTGAAAATTTTTGTGCAGGCGCAGGGGGCGCTGGCGAGTAGAGCGAACCACTGACGAAATCGTGCAAGCGATACAAGGGAAACGAACTGTAGTGGCCAGGACGCGGTGCTGTACCCTTGTTCGCGTCCCTGCTGATTCCAGTAACGTGAGTCAGACGACTCTAGGTACGTGCATGGGGCGTGCCGTCTTGCGAACAGAAGCTGATTGTGTCCGCTGGACACGTTCAATAAAGGGTTACCACAAAAAATGTGGTAACTGAGGGGGTTTACGAACAGTAAATGTACGAGCTGGACCCCCCCTAACGTCAGTTCAAGCAGCCGCGGCACCTGGCGCGTCTGCCCACCCTTTTTCACACCCAGCCACATCCAAGGCAGACTTACAGTTGCATTTGTGCAGTGTGAACAGCGCGCACAGCACCAGGCGACCCCACGGCCCAGTGCACCTGCTCCAGCGCCCGCTCCAGGTTCACCCTCTCTACCGTCAGCTCCAGCAGCAGCTTGCGTGTCTGCGCCACCTCGTCCCCCCAGTGATGCACGTCTCTATGAAGCTGCCGCTCTGCCCGGTCCTGCTCCTCCTGTTGGCACGAGTGTCGGGGACGGATTGGGGAAAATGGAAAGGGTGACTCTAGAGCAAGGCTGCAGCAGCAGCTTACATGTGTGTGCCACCTCGTCGCCCCAGTGATGCACGTCCCTGTGTAGCCGCCTCTCGGCTCGGTCCTGCTCCTCCAGTAGTTTTAAGTGTGGGGGATGGACGGGGGATGGGGGATGGGCGCTTCTCCTGCCACGGTTCTCACCTGTCCCAGTTATCACCTGTCCCAGTTATCAACTGTCCCAGTTATCACCTGTCCCACTTCTCACCTGTCCCACTTCTCACCTGTCCAACCTGTCCCAGTTCTTACCTGCCTCGTTTTTCACCAGCCCTGGTTTGGGCTTTTGCTGAGTTTCACCTGCCCCATTTTTCCCCTGCCCTAGTTCTCACCTGCACGGGCAGCGTGGGCATGTCAGCACCTGCCACAGCAATCAGCTCCACCAGTTTCTCCTGCCTCGATTTGCACCTTCCCTGGCTCTTCCCTGCCCCAGCCTTCCCCCAACTTAGTTCTCACCTGCACGGGCAGTGTGGGCATGTCAGCGCCTGCCACGGCAATCAGCTCCACCAGCTTCTCCTGCCTCGGTTTGCACCTTCCCTGGCCCTTCCCTGCCCCAGCCTTCCCCTAACTTAGTTCTCACCTGCACGGGCAGCGTGGGCATGTCAGCGCCTGCCACAGCAATCAGCTCCACCAGCTTCTCCTGCCTCGCCAGCTCCCTCTCTACCTCCTCCTCCAGCCGCAGCACCTGCAAGTTGTTAGTGGGCACGGAAGGTGTGTGCAATGACATGACAGTAACAAATTCCTTAATACTTTTAACGCCAGCTCCCTCTCTACCTCTTCCTCCAGCCGCAGCACCTGCAAGGCAGGCACACAGACGGACCATAAGATGCAAACTTCATGTTTTCGGCGTAAGTCCTGGAAGGTGGGTAGATAGATAAACAGCACCAATCACATCATAACGAGGTTTTTCGAGATGGCTCAAGAGTCCCTTACCCCTGTGTCCATCAGAGATACGTTGCTCCGTGTCCGCCTCCGCCCCTCTCCACCACGCTCCACCCCTCGTTCACCCTCTCTACCGCTGTACCTTCTCGCCTCTAACCTCGTAAGCGACGCGGTCCTCCCCTCCCCTGCCACAGCCCTCCCTTGCCCAATGTTCGCCCTGCTTTCAGCCCCCTGGCTGGTCAACGTGGTCAACGGAGTCACCGCACCACCAGACGCAGTGGTACCCGCAGCAGCATTGGGATCTCCAATCCGCTCTGCTGCTTCTTTCACGGCTCTCTCCATTTCTGCTGCTGCTTTTGCAGAAGCCACGGCTGCTGCCAACCGTCCATCTGAAGGCACAGCCGCCACCAGCCGTCCATCTCTGATAACACCTGCTGCTCCAGCAGAAGCCAATAAATCTGCACCGCCGGTGGCGCCTAGGCCTCCCTGTGCCGGCTCGTTTGCTTCTCCCCCTGCTGCTGCTCTCTCCGCTGTGGCTGCTTCTGCTGCTTTTGCAGCCGCCACAGCTGCCGCCAACCGTCCATCGCTAACCAGTCCTGCTGCGTCAGCAGAGGCAATAGAATTTGCAGCACCGGTGTATCCTGGTGGGACCTGTGCCGTCGTTTCACTTGCTTTTGCTGTTCTCTCTTCCTCTCCCGATGCTGTTCTCTCTGCCGCTGCTGCTCTCTCTGCCGCTGCTTCCTTCTCAGCTGCTGCCGCCTTAGCCGCAGCCACAGCTGCCGCTAGCCTCCCGTCTCTGATCATACCGAACGCTCGAGCAGACGAGTGTTGCCTGAGCCAGAGAGTCGAATCTAGGGTATAGCACTTCAGTCTCTCATCATACCTGCTCCGCAGACGCAAAGTCTGATATAGCGCTCACTTTTTATTAATTCCTGCTCTTCAGTCTTAAATTAACAAGTTTTAATCTCTAATCGCAATCCCAAATGCTGCTTCAAGTCACCACTTGCTCGCATCTTTTCTACTACTTCCAATCTTGACCATTTGCAGCATCAGGTGCCGTCGTATACGCAGCAGATAGCATCAGCGAAGGATCTCCGCAATCGCAGAGTGTAACAGGGCGGATTATCTTCGGCTAGCAGGGGTGATGTACTTAGGTGAGCGCCTTAACGAGTCTCTGCGGAAGAATGGGAATCATGGGGACGAAACTTTGGAATAAGCTGGATGTCCCCTTTTCGCTGCATTTTCGAGAACTATGATAAGCACGCATTGAGACCTGATTCAGGCATTGAACAAAATGCTTACCGTTATCAGCACACTTGTCATTGCAGCATACGTACGAATGTGATATCACTTTATTGACTACGGTGCGCCGTCAAGAAACAGGCCAATTCATGAAAGAGCATTGAGTATTTCCAGAGAATCAACTACTAACCTTCCATTGTCGCCAACGCTGATGTTTCGTTGAACGCATCGCAGAAGAACGAACAATGCGGAATATTCTCTAGTGCCTGAGCCCCTCGAGCCCCAACCAGAATATCAAAGTCGCTGCATTTCAATCACTAGCGTCCGTACCTAATTTCAGTTCTCTACTATTGTAAGGAATTTTCTCGGCATTCCTTACGGAGCCGACTACATCGCGTACAGCAAACAGCCGATTGTTCGCCCGTTACTGCTAACGGAACTTCGCCGACTTCGCGCGCACTGTTTTGCCAAACCTCGCACTGCTGGCATGGCCGCATCGGCCTACGCTTCGGGACTAGCCCGAGCCTCGCTCCAGCGTAGCACTAGCCAGCTCGCACGCACCGCGTTACCGTTTTGCATGTTTCGCGTATAAATGTTCGCTCATGCCTTCGCTCACATTTTGTACTCGTTTGACACCTTAGTGCAATTCTCGCTACCTCGATTCATTGCACCCGTAACACTTGGTTATCAGAGCCCCTTTCCTTTCGGACCGCGCATCTCCGCACACCAGGAAATCAACTTTTGATTTTTCACTCGAAGGGACTCACGCACCTTAGCCCCTAGGAGCCGCTGTCCTCGCGTTCTCTCGTAAACGCGTGCAGCCACGACTGCGCCTAGACTAAGACGAGCCGACGCCCTTCGTCATGGCCGAAAACATCGACGTCACCACTCTCACGCAGGAGCGTTTGAACGATCTGCTGCGACAACTGCACGAAAGCTCCGAGGAAATCGCAGCATTGACGGCAGAACGCTCATCACTGCAAAATGACCTCCTGAGAGCACAATCTCAAGCACCTGGCACTCCGATTCAACCCGCACCCTCAACATCACAACACGGGAGTGTGGGGCAACCCGCGAGCGCGGCCAGTGATGGCGTCGTCCACCCCGACGGAGACGACGACCACGGCACGACACACCCCAGAGCGACGCCTGCGGCCCCAAGTCAGCCTCGCGTCACGATTTCGGCACCAACCCACGATTCGGGACTGCCGTCACCGATGCCGCTTAAGCCACAGCGCCCGCCATGCTTTGACCCGAGTCAACGGGGTGGTCCTACCGTCCAGGCGTGGTTGTTCACAATGAATGTTTTCTTCGACGCCAACTACGTCTCGGAGGACTCGACGAAGATTCGATACGCCGTGTCGTTGCTGCGAGGACCCGCCATGGACTGGTGGCGCGTCATCGTCACGAAGCCGACCGACTACGCGACACTACCGACACAGGAAGGACAAACCGGACCCTGGGCGCCGTCGTATTTCGTGGAGGTGTCCCAGTATCGCACGTGGGACGCGTGGTGCGCAGGTCTGCACGCTCGATTTGAGCCAATCGCGGCCTCGATCTCGGCGCGACAGAAGCTCCGCACTTGGCGCCAACTCGGTTCCGTCCAGGATTACACGAGCGGATTTCTGGCGCTATGCGAGCAGGTGGGCTACATGCATGAGAGCGAACGCATCGACCGCTACATCGGCGGCCTGAAGCAGGACATCGCTCAGGAAATCCAGCTTCGCGGCGTCACCGAATTTCAGGAAATTCTCGCTATGGCGGAGAAGCTCGACTTCTTTCGCCGACCGAGACCGGGGTCCTACGGAAACAACAACTGGGGACATCGGCCTCGTGGGACGAACGAAAGCGCCACGATACGCGCCGTCGCCGCAAATGCCGCTGCCGCACCGTTCAAAGGGCGCTGCTTTGCGTGCAATCGGCCGGGACATCGCAAGAGCGAATGCCCGGAAAACGCTAAGGGAAAGGGGGAAGCTGAGCAGCAGACACAGACCAAGCAGCAGGGAAACGCTGGAAGTCAGTAGCAGACGGGCCCTCTACTGACAGGTCACGCCGCTCGCCCGACCCAACCGACCCTCACCGAGTGATTGTGCCGGTTCACGCAATCGACCACACCCGGCCGAATAAGGAGGGTACCACGGTAGACAGCCCTATACTGCTCAGTGGGAAAATTGGGACGGACTTAGTTAAAATCTTCGTAGACGGGGGAGCCAGCCACAGCCTCATTAACACTGCTACAGCACGAAAACTGCGACTGCCACTGGACAGATGCTTACCTGAGATCGACGCACGACTGGTAGACGGCACACCGCTGGCAATACGGGAACGCGTAGACCGAGTCCGGATTCGATGCGGGGGTAACTTCACGTTTAGTCAGGAAATGCTCGCAACGACCCTCGACGGAACCGACATTTTACTCGGGCGTGATTGGCTGCGACGACACAATCCGCGAATTGACTGGACGACGGGTGACTGCACCGTGCGAGTAAACGGTAACAACATCGCCTTACCTCGCTGGGGCTCGCCTGAGTCTTCGTCGGTGCGTGTTAATGCGATCACGATGAAACGCGCTGTAGCGGCCGGAGCTGACGTGTACGCGGTTGACATTCGGGAAGCCGAGGCAGCAGACAAGGGGGGCGATTTACAGAAACTGCTGACCGACGTACCGAGTGACCTGGCGGCACTGTTAAAACAGTACAGTGACATTTTCCCGGACGACCTGCCGACGGGACTGCCACCTCAGCGACCGCACGATCACAGGATAGAACTGGAACCGGGGGCACAGCCAATAGTACAGCGACAGTTCCGACTGACCCAACCCGAACTAGACGAACTGAGGAAGCAGCTCGATTACCTGCTCGAGAAGGAATTCATTCGCCCTAGTTCGTCGCCCTTCGCCGCACCCATACTGTTCACACTGAAAAAAGACGGGGGGTTTCGCATGTGTATCCACTACATGGCACTGAACAGGGTTACCATTAAATCTCGTTACCCCATCCCACGAGCCGACGAACTGATCGACCAACTGCGCACAGCCCGGGTTTTCTCGAAAATTGACCTCCGGGGAGGCTACCACCAAATCCGCGTTAATCCACCCGACTGCCCTAAAACCGCATTCCGAACACGCTACGGATCCTTCGAATACACCGTCATGCCATTCGGATTGACCAACGCCCCCGCCACCTTCCAAATGACCATGAACGAAGCATTCCGCCCGCTTTTAGATAAGTGCGTCATCGTTTATCTGGACGACATACTGATTTACAGCCCGGACAGAGCACAGCACTTACACGACATCGAAGCAGTTTTTAAAATCCTCAGTGAGAACCGCCTACTGACCAAAGCATCTAAGTGTGAATTTTTACAGGACCGCCTGGAGTTTTTGGGACATGTTATTTCAGCTGCAGGAGTGGAAATAGACCCGAAGAAAATTGCGACGATTCAGGCTTGGCACGCGCCGACCAACTTGACCGAGTTGCAGAGTTTCCTGGGGTTCGTCAACTACGTGCGCCGGTTCGTCCCCGACATGGCGAAGTTGACTGCCCCGTTGACCGACCTGCTGAGGAAGGGGGTTGAGTACACGTGGGGGGAGAAAGAGCAAGCTGCCTTCTCGGCCCTCAAAAATATTTTGTGCTCCCCGCCCGTCCTTCACATTGCAGATCCCCACCGTCCGTTCGAACTCGTCACCGACGCAAGTGACATCGCTGTGGGAGCAGTACTGTTGCAGGACTTCGGGAACGGCCTCCAGCCAATCGCGTACGAGTCCCGCAAACTGCACCCGCCCGAACGTAACTACCCGATACACGACCGCGAGATGCTAGCGATCGTGCACGCGTTCAAAGTTTGGCGGTGTTACCTGACTGGCGCCGACGTGACAGTACGGACAGACCACCGCTCGCTACAGTACCTTCGCGCCCAACCGAATCTCAACCCACGACAGATTCGCTGGTTGGACTATCTCGAGTCCAATTTTCACTACACCGTCACGTACAAAAAAGGAGCATCCAACATCGCCGACGCCCTCACCCGCCCCACCGCCCAACTCCACGCCATCCTACTCGCCCAGACCAACCCGCTTTTAACTGGCCTATTCACCCACGGATACCGCACCGACCCATTTTTCACGACCGGAAATTCGCAGCAACTGGCAGAAGCAAAAGGAGTCTATTACGTAAAAACAGGCACCAACCGCATTTGGGTACCCGCGTACTCACTACTGAGGGAGCTGCTACTGCAGGAGGCACACGACGGGATTACCTCGGGACATTTCGGGGTCGAAAAAACGCGACAGCAACTGCAGCGGTATTATTACTGGCCGGAGTTGTTGACCGACGTACAGCAGCACGTGGGCTCGTGCCCGACGTGTGAGGTGATGAAGAGTTCAAGGAAGCGGAAGGCGGGTCAATTGCAGCCGATCCCACCGCCCGAACGCGCCTGGCAGCAAGTAACCATGGACTTCGTCACAGGGTTACCTTCGAACCCTGGGGGTAACGACGCAGTGATGGTCGTCGTGGATAGGCTGACGAAGATGGCACACTTCGCTGCGTGCAAAAAGTCGATCT